TTACTTCGAATACCATAATATCTTCATGTAAAAGGTAATGTAAAAGTTCACAATAATACTTTGAAGAAACTTTGTAGCGGGCGTAAAATTAGATGAAGTATTGCTGAAACATGGAAAACTGTCTTACTTCCAAACAAAGAGAACGATTCGGACGTTCTCTCGTCCCCTGATCCCTTTTGAGGTTGACATTTAGTTCCCCAAATAACAGCTAGATGAAAGCGCGTTAACCACGAATAAACAGACGTCCCCGTCTTACCCCATGGCCACATCTTGCACCACTTTCTCCTATATATATATATATTTCTCCTCAAAATTGTATTCAAATTATGAATGTAAAGTATAATTTGAATAAAATCTTGGAGATATCTATTTTTATAAAATTAACTTTTATTAATTTAAAGTTAAGAATAAATTCATAAATATCAAATCAATAATTGTGTAAATGAAAATCGATAAAGGTTAAGTTTGTATATAAGAATTTTATTCATATGTCAAAGAGATTAGAATGGAGGCAGGACTTTAAAAATCTGATAAATATAATTAAATATATACTGTATAAAAGTTAGTACCTAATAGGGTCTCTGTTTATATGCAGCTTTCTTCATTCCAGGAATTCTCGAAAAAATGAAGCCATTTCCGGGAATACTGGGAAATCCAGGAATTAATGATTTTGTAAAAATTATGAGATTACAGTAATTTGCTGGAGGCAAATAAAACATTACATATAATTAAAATTAAGAATAAATATAAATATCATGCTCTTTTATTTTAAAAATAATAAAAATAAACCGGTTTTTAATCTAGTTTTTTTATGTATTTAGCTAATACAAAAAAATAAAAAATAATAAAAATAAAACAAGTTAAAACATTAGAAACAATGATATCGTTCCTCTATCTAAAAACGTTAAAAATTCAGTCAATATTTTAAAAATAGAAGTATCGATTATTTATATTTTTTTAAAGAAACTATCAAGAAGATAAATAAAAATGTTAAAAAACTGCTCCTTCTGATTCGACAGAAGTTGGAGGAATAGTTTTCAGTTTACCAAGTAAATTCATGATGTTTAAAGCTGCATTCTCTTTTGCCTCAAATTACTACAGTTCTTCGATTGTTTGTTTGGCATGGAAAAGTTGAACAGTGTATCTTTTTTTCATTGATGGCATTGCTGCTTCTACTATTGTCTGCTAATGTCACGGATTGTGCAATTTCCTGACTTATGTCATGTTCTGAATGTGAAGAGTAGACTGTTCCGTATTCATTGAAAAGTCTTGCAACATCATTACATATTCAGATAATGATTCCTATTTGGCAAAATAGTCTAGCCAGGAATAACTGCACAAATTTGTATTTTCTTCAGCGTTTAAATACTTAATGTGCAGTACCTTCTAGGATATATTTTTCCTCCTTGGAAAAATACATTAATAATGATTGTTTTCGCTTCATCAATAGAAGTGCTCTCTTCGCTGTCCTCAACTGCTTTGCGCCTATAAATTCGACTGTTTATTGATCAGGTCAATTTATATGTTGAATGCATCATTTATAAATGTCCAATTAACACATTTGTATTAATACGAGGTTAGATAGATTAACCTCGGCACAATAATTTAAAGATTTATTGTTTACAATTGCACTCTCTTCATTGGATTTTTTAATATAATAAAAATATATTAAAATGAAATACTATTTAAAAAACGAATCAGCAAGGTACCGTACATTATGAAGATAGATGAATCTTAGAATCGAGTCTGTGAGCAATGCGGGCAGCTAAATTTCCGAAGTTCATACAGTATCATACAGAGAGAATAAAAATTGTGATATTTTTGAATTAAAAAGTATAATCTGAAAATTATTGTTTTATGTATTGTGATGATTTAGTCAGTAACATTTGTATGTCTCTCTATTTTTGGTGCAGAAAGAAATAAAATTTCGGGATTTCCAGGGATACATCTAATTTTCGGAATTTTCAAATACAAAAAAAAATTCAGTCTCAAGGGAAAAAACCCTAGTATTAAGTATCTATTCCACTAGAGAATAGCAGAAGAAATCTGATTAGAAGCAAAATTTGATTTGTCATATTAATAGTTAATTATGTTTTAATTCTTGAAGAAAGAAAAAAAAAGAAAATTAAAAAACATTCTCATGGAAATTTAATCGAAACAAAACATAGTGGAATACTAACTAATTCGAAATTGCGTAAACTTTATTAATCGATAAAAATAACTATTTTAATAAGAATTTAACAGTAAATTGGAAAAGTCAGTAAAGTACATAATAGATTTTAATAATTTAACATAAAACTTAAAAAAAATGAAAAATAACGTTACGTGACTTAAAATATAATGTCATTGGTTTATTGGCCTACTTCAGAACTGTCCGTGTGCATACAATTAATATCATTTACATTAATATTTTAAAATTTGTTGTTGTTTAAAGTAAGTTTTAAACTTTTCATTTAGATAGTAGAGATCGATGAATAAATTTTTGATAAATTCTTAAATGATACAGCATTAAAGAAATTATTTACGAAAACGTGGAACAAGTATCTCTCTAAAGTTCGTTTTTGTCATCATTAAAATTACTGGCAGTTGAGTATTAGTTTTTGTAATTATTTTTCTCCTGAATTTTAATTCCACAAAATCTTACAATATTGCATATGCTGTTTGCATATAATGTAAATATTGATTTATCGAAAGCATTGTACGTCCCCAATATTACTTATGACTGAAAATTTCAAATTATAAATTTAGAAATGTTTAATATGAAATGGAATCTTTGGTTTGCTTTTAGTATAATTTTGCTTTTTTCAAAATATAGTGAATATCTTAAGTATATGATGTGAATATTGATTCTTAATAGAAAAAAAATAATGTTAATTTTGAAAATTTATAATTATAATGTAGTCACGATCATCTGATATAAATGAGATGGGCAATATATAAAATAATATGGAACTGAATAAATAATCATTTCCATTTACAAGTCAAATTTATTTGAATTAAAATATGCAATATAAAATGGAGCCCACCAGTGGCCGAGCGGTCTTCGTACCCTAAACACTGGGCGTTCGGTCGTGGGTTCGCGCCGCGATCGGACAGGCTGGCTGCTTGGAGTTTTCTGGGTTTTCTCCTTGCCGATAACGACTAAATAGGAGGCCAGTTCCCCATAAAAGTCCTCCCGGGAGGCATTCTTTCCCCTCGCGTACCATCGCGCCCCAGAGAAGGCAACGGGAAACCACTCTGGGTATCATCCTTCCCCAGTACACACCTTGGCGTATTATTAATCTGCGCCGGGTGTCGCCGACGTCAGTAATCTGATATGACACGAAGAAGAAGAATATAAAATGCATATAAACTTAATTTTAAAATATAATGGTTGAAATTAATACATTTTAAATAAAACACAAAAGTGATATAATGAAACTATTAATTTTATTTATTTGCTGTACGAACATTGGTGTACTGTACTGTGATCTAATCGTTCTAAACAATATTTTTTCAAATCATTTTTGCATAATATATTGATGTATGTTATTTAGACTTATTTAAAATCTTTAATCGTCTGATATCTTGTATGAGCTGTAATGCTGATATTTCAATTTAAAATTGCATGACGTTTGAGATATTTGCTTGCTTGCATTTGATCATTGTTGACTTATTCATCATTTTAAGAGGAAATAGGATTTTATGTTTGTTATAACAAACATAAAATCCTATTTTCTATGTTCATATTTGAAATGTGACAGTTATATTAAATGGATTGACTACAGTTCTAATCTAACCGTTATATATGATGAATTATAGTTTTAGCTTGCATTATCATAAAGATCATAGGTTTTATACAAATTTAAATCCAGAGCTCCTATATTGATAAAACAGCTCTTTATTGCACAATTGGAAAATTTAAACAGACATTACAAAACAATTATATTCGCTATCAACTTATTGATGAAAATAGTACTTATTTTAATTTTCGAACATTTAAATTATTAAAACATTTTATCTATTGTTCCATGTATACAATGTTATTTCCAGAAACACAAAATGAGCTTATAGTATATTAATTTTCTTAATGTTAAACTTTCAAATGAATAAAAAATAATTTCGAATTTTCTTCTCTGAACACTAATGCCCATTTTATCAATACTAGTCTGTTTTGATTATAATCTATTAATAGGACTCGTTATTGTATACTGATTTAATTTGGAGATAAAAGTGAATCCGCAAGTGGCAAGTGCGCAAGTGAATCCGCAAGTGAAATTATTGGCAAGAAATTATTGGAGATTGAATCCGCAAGTGAAATTAGTATAATAAGTCCTATTATAGTCACAATAGACTAATATTGATAAAACAATATTTAAAGGACTAGAAACATTAATTAACTAAACTCAATTGTTTTATACTTCATTAGATTATGTTCCTTAACCCAAATAACGTTTCTTTTGGGCCCTTCAGCGAGGTTCGTGCACAGGATTTTTAAAAGGATGGAGTTTTAAAAAACACATTATTTTACATAATTTAACATAATTTAGTGTATTAATTTTTATAATTTAGATATATAGAATAATACGATACAGTAAGACTAAGGGGGAACTGAATGGGAACAAAGTAAATAAAAGTTAGATACAATAAACTGTTTTAACATATTTTAATTTTTCCCAAGTGGGAGGAGTTAAACTTTCAAACCTCATCGTGTGCATGATCTCCTATCATTAAAAGTAGACATTATTGAAAAAAATTTTGTAATATTGAGACACTAGTATTCGAATGCAGTGTTATGAACATTTTTCAATAATTTTACGATGGGCTGAAAAGATCAAAAATATTTGATTCAAGGAAGATATGGTAACCATTTGCAAGAAAGCAGATAACGAAACGATAGTTTTTATGCATTTTGTAAAAAATTTATTTTGTTTTAGTAAAGTGAATTATTAAAATTAATACAGAATAAATTTTGTAAATAAATAAAACTTCTAAACACTGTATATTTTATTTCATTTCAGTCTTTGGAGAGCACTAGGCGTATGCTTATGCTATGTGAGGAAGTAAGTGAAATATTTGTTTATATACAGTATATTTCAAATTTTAAAATTTTTCGTCTAATATTGAATATTAATAAATTTTCATTATATTAAATAACTTTTCTTATTTATACCAACTGATTTTATTATTATTATTTCAATACAGAGCAAAGAAGCAGGAATTCGAACCTTGGTCGCACTGGATGACCAAGGAGGTGAGAGAAAAATTTTTCACATCTCATTCAACTGTTATGTAAATGAAGTTGAACAAATTACACATTGACAAATTCTTTTACTCCAACAGTTTTAGTATGCAATAAATATGCATAAATGACTTAACTCAATTTAAATATATGTGATAGTCTTCTGCAAAAATAATTCATTATTATAAACATTTTTCTTTCAAAAATTTTATAACATTGCTTTCTTTTAATTTTATTTAAATATAGTGTAGTCACCTTTTCAAAATTGCCGACCCGGACATTTTAAAATTAAAATGTTATACTTAGAAATAAAAAAATTAGGTTTTTTTTATTGAGTAAAAAATAAATATTTTTTTTATTAGAAGGTAAACACGTACAGTACTGTACATGATATATTATTAAAGTAATACAATAATCACATGTATTAATATCCGAAAATAATTAATAACAGTCCGATGTCGATATTACTTTAAAAAATAATACATAAAAGTAAGAATAATAAATAATAACATACCAACATTAATAATAAGTTACAAAAGATACATTATATCTGATACAATATATAATATAAATATGGAAATTTGAAAACTAACATCAGTAATAGTTACATATAATAATAAACTATATGAAAATAATTGAGAAAAATTACATAAAAATAAATATAATTATTTTTTATTTACCGCTTTAAAAGCGTATTTTTGGTTTGAATTCAAGGCATGCGCAATGTCATTTTATAGCCAAGAACAGTGCTGCCGTTTCTAGGGTAATTTCAACCTCTCAAGGTTTTGTTTAGAGTAATTCGCAAAATTTAACAGTGAGGTTTTTGGAGCCGTTGTTTATAATGTTTAAAAATGTTAATGTTGATTTATAAGTTGTAGACAATGAATGGCGTAAACAAGCCCTACTTAACTTGGGGTCAAAAAGTCATACTGTCAGATCCTATTTGCCAGAAATATTTAATTTAAAAAATGCTGCTGGAAAGTTTGTTTCAAAATCTTTAAAAATTGTTGAGTTTATTGATATTACCAGCTTCCAATGCATCTATTTCATATTATTGCGAATATTCAGTCAGCTACGTTTGTGTAAGTCATTCCTTGAAAACTGAAACGATTTGTAACTGAATGCATGCACAGTCCGATATTAAAAAAATTATTTGTTTTATTTGAACCTTCAACAAAACAAATGTTAAAACGCAAATATACGAGGGCCGTTCGAAAAGTTCGCGGCCTTGCCTATATGCGGCGCTGCGATCAATTTAATTTTTGGCGGGAATAATTCAGTCATCCTTGCTAAAGATACGATACCAATTTCCGCTTGATTTGTCGTAAAGTTTTGCCACGACAGCTTAGCAGATAGTCAATGTGCACATGCTTTGTCAAAAATGGAGAAGACGGAGACTCGTGCGGTCATAAAATACCTGACGAAAAAAGGGTTGACCCCATCTCAAATCAAAGCTGACATGGATGAAGTTTTAGGAGAGTCTGCTCCTTCGTACACCACTGTGAAAAAATGGACAGCCCTTTTTAAATCTGGCAGAGAAAGTGTGGAAGATGACCCTCGCAGCGGACGGCCGTCAACTGCTGTCACTGAAGAAAACATCGACAAAGTTCACGATTTGGTATTAGCAGATCGCCGTTTGAAAACGCGTGAGATAGCTGAGACAACAGGCATCTCTGTCGACCGAGTGCACCACATCCTAACCGAAGATTTGGGTATGACGAAGGTCTCAGCAAGGTGGGTGCCGCATCTGCTGACCGCCGAGCAAAAACGTGTTCGCACTTTGATGTCAAAGGAGTGTTTGGACTTCTACCAGAAAAACCCACAGGATTTCTTGCGTCGGTTTGTGACTACTGACGAAACGTGGATCCATTACTACACTCCTGAAACAAAAGAACAGTCGAAGCAATGGAAACACCACAGTTCGCCACCACCAAAGAAGGCAAAGACAGTTCCATCAGCGGGTAAAGTGATGGCCTCGGTTTTTTGGGATGCTAAAGGCATCATCTTTATTGACTACCTAGAAAGAGGAAAGACCATTAATGCTGTCTATTACTGTGAACTTTTGGAAAAACTGAAGAAAGAAATCGAAGAAAAGAGGCCACACTTGAAGAAGAAAAAAGTTCTGTTCCACCACGATAATGCACCTGCACATTCCGCCAGAATCACTGAACAAAAGATAAACGAACTTCGCTTCCAATTAGTTCCACATCCACCGTACTCACCTGATTTGGCCCCCAGTGACTTCCACCTTTTTCCAAACCTAAAAAAATTCTTGGCTGGAAAGAGATTCCACTCAAATGACGAAGTCATCTCTGAAGTGAACGAGTATTTTGCACACCTTGACAAATCGACCTATTGTGATGGCATAAAAAAGCTAGAACATCGCTGGAATAAGTGCATTGCTAACAGAGGAGATTACATTGAAAAATAAAAAAAGTTTTAACATTATTTTGTTTGTTTTTCTATGTGAGACCGCGAACTTTCCGAACAGCCCTCGTATATGTAAATAAATGAATTTTTAAAACTGATCATTTAGGTATCAAAGAATGTTTGAAATCAAATTAATGGCTTATTTAATTTTCTATCTTCAGCTAAGATATACAACACATGTTGAAAGTGAATTAATTAAATTTAAGTTAAATAATTGCATTCATTAGACTTGTGGAAATATTTTATAATTATTTAAAGACCAGGTGAGATTTTTCTCGTTTGTCGAATTGGGATTACCAAACTAAAACATCACCATATCAGATGTAAATGAATACCTCTGATAACTAAAATATCTTAGGATTTTTAGGCTTTAACATTTTTAAAAACAGTGAATTAAGAATTGTTCTGATTATTATTTTACGATAATAGTACAGGGATCTGCGTCAAAGAATCGTTTTTCTTCTTATTATTTTTTATCCTAGCATGAGTTCGATAAAGGTCGTTTTCTCAATCTAGGGTAAAACGAAGGCGCCGTCAGGGTAGCTCCACTAGAAACAGGCAGCAGCACTGGCCAAGAACTGAACAATGCGCATGCCAGTTTTAAACCACTTACTAGGGGTACGTTCGTAAAGTCAAAGGAGTTAAACGCGTTAGTAACGAATCGTTCGAAAAGTAGTAGTCTTGCTCAGTGCGCATGCTCTGCTATGATGACGTTTCGAACGAAACTCTAACGAAGCTCACGAAGGAAAAAGTTACTTTACTGTATCATCCAACATCTGATGCTGAGAAAACGTTTTCGATCTAATATGATAGGCCATCTTCAGATGCAAGTATTCTCGAACGTATTTAACTTAATATTTAAAC